TAAACATTAAAGCTACAATGTGTGCGATCGATCATGGGTTAGTTAAGTAATTCTTAAATTCCACTGGGAGCAATCATTTACTCTCTTTTCTATTGCAAGCGTTCTTTCTACATTACTTAAACTCCCCCTGGGTTTTTTTCCCAAAAAGTATGAAAGTTCGTTTAAAATAAATTGATCATTTAAAACACGCCATGGAAAATAAGTTTCTTGTCATATAAAATAAACTGATAGGTTTTATTATAGAAAGTATATGAAAACTGTCCCATCGTTCACCGGTGAAAAGTGTCGACGTGCGTCGTGTTAAAGTTTCACCCATATTGTAACGAGTGTTGTTTTATCAATTAAGCTAACAAAAGCAAGCTTTAAAATATACCTTTATTAGCATTATGCATTCATGAGTACATTTCAAATTCTCTTGATGTAAAGAACCCCTTTCCTCGACAACCCTTCTTAAAGCATTTACAAGATTATGTGGTGTGTAACATAATCGAAGATTAGGTTTTGTATTTTGCAAGATGAATTAAGATGTTTGTAAGCGGCTCTAAGGAAGTTAACGGAGTTGGGGAGAAAGTCGAATTGTTAGTAGCGGATTTGAAATTCTATTTTTACTGACGGTAGCTACTTCTTAGAGGTGGATTGCGAATTTATTCGAGTGTAATATAATTTTTTTGGCTTACCACTTTAACTCGATTTATAAAACTCCATTGTCCAGAAAAAAGTTAGTCCTTCACGAAAAACATTTCCATATTATAAAAAACACGTTGCACAAACGACACTGTCACGTATATTAATTTGACAAAAAACTGTCACTGTGACACTTCAAATGAATGGTACATTCGGTCTAAAATTACTTGGATAACCATCAAAACTTAAACGTTCGTTTACACTATGCATTTATAATTGCGAAATCTGCTTTATGCTGTCAGACATAATGACTAGTGCATAGGTAGTAAGTATAAGGTTTTTGTACATGTCGCTGTATATTACTAACGATTTGAAACATTGAAATGTTTTTACGCTAAGTTAAGACCTTGAATAACGGAAAAAACAATCCTTTACACGTTCATCTCCACATTCCCTTATAGGTACGTACATTAGGAAAGCAAAGTCTAAATTTTATACGTTTTGTGATGGATATCATTATCATTATTATCATTTTTTCAATTCATAGGCATTTATTCAAAAGGGTGTAAACATTTTGATATTATTATGTACATTTAAATTCTAGTTTGTTTGAGGTTCATTGTATTTTTCATTTTTATCCGGTTTAAATTCTTTGGCGAATTTTTATTGTTTCATCCTTATAAGGCGAATTGAATTTGCATTTACCCTTTTCGTTTCCTTATTCCTTATTCATTGCGAGCACATTGGTTCAAAATCAAATGTAGTTATATTCATCGCTAATAAATTCAATGTCGGCAAGTATTATATTCTGGCGATTAACTGGATGTTGTGTAATTTTCAAATTTCTCTCATTTTGGAGGATTTAATTGAATTTTGGTAAATTTGTCAGTAGCCGCCATTTTCTTTAACCAGTGCTTTTCAGAACTTTTCTATTCGTTTTAGATGGAGTTTGAATCAATTTAATTGTAAATCGGTTCCATACTATTATTTACTATTTTTGTGTGTGAATTGGACATGTCATTTTCTTTACAGTCAACTGAACTTTGATCTGTTCTGCATATATATTTATTTGCGGAATGCAAGAACTTTTTATCTGAGATATCACAGACAGCAAACAGCGCTTGGGACAGAGATAAAGAAATTGGTTCATAGGTCAATTATGTCAACTTATCTATTTATGAATCAATGAAGTTTGTAATTAGTGGGTAATTCCTCTTCAAGGGATTATACCATTGTTAATTTTCTTTAAACGCTGAAAGTAATTTATTAGTAATTAATTTCCAAACTCTATAGATAGATGGCCGATTGGATTTTAAACGTGTTGCGAGTTTGGGTATGCTTACTCCGTCAGTGATCGCGGTGTCTTGTTAACGTATTCGATCGCGGATCTGGATACAAGTATTTGTTTTGGCTCTTAAAGTATGCCTCATTTTTAATTATCAAGCAAATTTGTTCGGTTTTCTTTTTTTTATTTTGGATTGAATTGCTGCAAACGGTGTCGGAACGGAGCTATCTTCTTGTGTCCGCAATTTTTTCATTACTGGTCTAAGGAAATTCCCATCTCTGTCACAGATGAAAAATTCTTACCTCAACCCAGGTTCGAACACTTGACCTCCCACTTTATAGCCCAACGCTCTACCATTGAACTACAAAGTCGGTCATCCTGATGAAAGCGTGAAATGTGCATGGAAGGCGTGGAAAAAGGAAGCACAATCAGGTGTGATGGGGTATCAAGGCAACATGAAGCAGGTGTGACAAAGATGCGAAGAAAGGGTAAGGGGAGCATGAAAAAGGCGTCAAGAAGCAGGCTTGACGGAAATATGAAGCAACTATAAAGAAAGTGTGAAGGAGGTTTGAAGCCAACCTGAGGAAGGCGTGAAAGGTTTGGGACGAAGGCATGTGAAGTAACAGTAGAAAACGTAGGTATAAATGGAGCGTTAACGAAGTGTGTAAAATCAAGGAAGCAGGCGTACAGGAGGAATGAGTCAGACGTGAATGTAGACAGGCACGAACCAGACGTCAAAGAATGGTGGAAAAGGGCCAGCAGGCAGAAGGGACTTAGGGAAGGGTGTAGAAATAAACCCTGAAATAAATGTGATTGCAGATTGTATTAAGGGGGGTCATGGAGAAAGTGAAACAGAGGTGTATTATCAGGTGTGCCTTAAGGAAGTGCAGCCAAATAATGCTAAAGGCAGAAACAGGCAGAAAGCGTGGAGGAGGCAATAGGCGGGCGTACTGTGAGCAGGACAAAAGAGAGGATGAAGCCGCACAGGAAGTTGTAAGAAGCACTTATGCAGGCTTGAAAGTGGAAGTAAAAATGAATCATGCCTGAATGAAGGGCGAAGGGGGTTATTGAATAGGCATGAACGATGAAGGAGTTAGCTGAGAAAAGGACGCAAGGAATGCAAGTAAACCCGAGAAGAACCCGTGATGGAGGTTGGATGTGGTGGTTAGCGGAACGGTACGGAAATTTAGAGCGCCACCAGGAGATTTCGACCCTTGCTCCTGGTTAAGAACGTTGGTTTCGGAACGGGTACCCAGACGGAGAAACGGAAAACTCCAGGGATTTTGTTTATTATTTTTATTTTATTTTACCTTTATTTTTGAGTGGACGGGGTTTCAGCCAAGGCTGCTCTACCAACCCAACCCACTACACATTTACAAATATCTATGCCCAAAAATACATCGAATGAATGTCTTGAACATTGAGATAATGCTCTTAGTCATTTTCCCAACGATCTTGGTGCATGAATAACGATTTTTTGATCAATATACATGTGGCCTAAGAAAAGAATTTAACATCTTGAATAACACACGATCAAGATAATGCACGTGAAAGTTTTTACCACCCCAAATTCATGTGTAAAGGATAATTTTGGATACATTTTGTTTTAAAACTTTTGACCTAGACCACAGAGTTATTTTGAATTGTTAACGCATCTAAGAGTCTTTGGGCATAATCTAGCAAAAGTCTGAACTCGATATAAAACCTAGGGAATGAAATATATATAAATACATATGTTGATTTTTATTATATTGAGCCCACAGTTTTTCCTGTTCCCGATGCGAAGTCCTATAACTTTGTTCGTGTTGACCCAGCTTAATGTAAATCAATAGCGTGTGTAAAATTTCAACACGATCGGCCACTTTTAAAAAGTTATAGGGCACACGGACAACAATACAAAACTATCAAGAATCTGAGGATCCTTAATAATTTACAATTAGAAACACAGTTATGTGCGGCCGCTGGTTGTCCTTATCAGCGGTTAAAACGGATCTACAAATTAAAACATTACTTTTACCTTCTATTTCTCACTCCTAGAAGAATTAAATAAATCTGGATCTGACAGTAACATTTACTGCACGTTATATTTACTATGCTCACGACCTAAATCTATCAGTCCAAGCTCCGCTTTTGCCATATTTATATTTTGTGCGTGACACGGGGTTGGCACGTAACTTTAAAGCACACGAAGAATGTTTTACACGTGGGTACGGCAATTGCAATTAATAAATTTGCGACACGGGCTTATACAGCATTCAAGAAACCGTTCTTGAAATAGGTATCGAGTAATTTAGACAGACTAAAAGGGGCGATGTAATTAAATATCGTTTAATCAGAATCAATTTATGTACCCCGCTCATTGTATTAAATTGAGCGAAGGAACATAAACGATTTGTTCGATATGTTTATGACCATTTCGAGAAAATAATTTCTCCACTCTCGCTTTTAATAACGGTACCTATGTAAACACTATTTTCATATGCTCTACTTCACTACCACCGAAGGAACTTATTAAATTAATATGTTACCTAAAGTTATATTCAAAGTTAGAAATTGTGAAGGGTATAACGTTTGGTTTTCTGTACATATTTTATGCGTTCTGCTATTATGAAATTTGTCCCTACGAGAAAATTGGTAAATTAATGTCTTTAACTTAATTATTAAGTCAAAGCTAAATAAATGACGTTTATATGAGGATGACTGCAGACGTAAAGCTGCCTTGTGGATGAATTGTTGAAGTATCGTGTTCTTTTTTTTTGTTTTTTTTTCTTTCTTTCCAAGGCGTCGACATCTTGGTCATTCGCCTTTTTTTAATATGTTACTTAAATCATGTTGAATAAGTTATTTCCTCTCCTCTACCACTCCTCTTATTCTCGTAGGCTCCCGCAAGTTCTGCTGTAGGTCTGGTGATATTTGCAGCGCTGTTCTTGTTTGGACAAAATTTGGACACGTACATACGATATGGACGACCGTTATCCGTTCACCACATTGACACATGGGAGGAGGTTCTCCGCGAAGTATATAAGCATGGGTGAGTCCAGTATGTCCTATCCGCAGCCTTTGTATTTTCACGCGTTCGGTACGCGTTAGCTTAATTCGCCTTCCTTCCCATGGCCAGCCTCAGGGCTGCTTTAAGATCCGTGGGTCTTAGGTCCTGGACATCTACTCGGGTTCCTCTTGTTGCACGTTTTGCTGCCGCATCAACCAGTTCATTTCCGTGTATTCCTACATGACTGGGTATCCACGCAAATTCCACTAACTTACCGGACTTCGTAACATTTGTGTACATTGCTTGTATTCTCTGAATAAGAGGATCACGGGAAAAAATGTCCCGTATCCCGGCCATAACACTGAGGCTATCGCAAACAATCAGAAACACGTGCCCTCTATTTATTAGACAATACAGCAGAGCCTGCCACAATGCATACAGTTCTGCTCCGTATACAGTTGTCATAGGCGGAAGTGTCCACTCGTGCGACCTGTATTCCACGTATACAGCGCATCCTACTCCTGATTCTGTGCGTGATCCATCAGTGTAGATGATGGTTGAGTCCCGATGCTCCTCCAGAAAGGCAAGAAAGTTGCTTCTGTATATTGTTACTGGGGTATCTTCTTTAACGTATTCCGCCAGTTTTAAGAAGATTTTCATTTTCGGGATCATCCAAGGCGGAACTTCGCCTTGTCCAAATGGTAACACGGACGGCATATTAACTCCCATCGCAGCGAATAGTTCGTGGGCTCGAACACCGGCAGGTCTAGTAATTGTGGGCCTCTCCAGAAAACCGCGTATTCCGGAAAACAAAAGTTTATAGTTGGGATGATCCGGTTGCGCCCGGATTCCCGCTACATATCCACTTAGGATTTTATCGCGTCTGTGAGACAGTGGGAGGAAACCTGCCTCGGAAAGCATTATATGTATGGGACTGGTGCGAAAAGCTCCAATAGAGTATCTTATTCCCGCATGGTGGAGATGGTCCAGTCTAGCTAAGGTTGACTTACGCGCTGAAGAGTAGGCTACACAGCCATATTCCATCTTGGATAGTAACAGGGAGTGGTGCATTTGTAGTAAGGTGTCTGGATCAGCCCCCCATTTGGTACCCGCAAGCACCTTAAATATGTTAAGGACCAATCTACATTTATCTACTACGCCCTCTATATGTTCTCTCCATCTTAGTTGATCATCAAAGATGAGACCCAGGAAACGAACAGATCTTGAGACAGGTATGGGTCGATCCTTAAAGAAAACTACGGGATCATAGTGAGGTCTTCTTAGCCTACAGAAATGGACACATTTTGTTTTTTCGCGGGAAAACTTAAAGCCAGAGTTTTCGGCGTTACTGATTATTTGGTTTAGAGCCGGTTGAAGACGCCTGGTTATTCTTCCAACAGTTTTATCCGCACAGAAAATGGCCAAATCATCAACGTAGAGGCATTTGTGCACGGCAGGGTCTATACCCGATGCAATGTCGTTTATGGCAATCGCAAATAGGGTGACGCTTAGCGGCGAACCTTGGGGAATACCATTTTCAAGGACCTTAGACGTCGAGAGGGCGTTTCCACATTTCACCTTCATTGTTCTCTCTCTCAAATAGTCGGCAAGGAAGAGAGGCAAATTTCCCCTGAGTCCCCAGCTATGCAACTTTCGTAAAGCACCGTATCGCCATGTCATATCATAGGCCTTTTCGAGATCAAAAAATATAGCCACAGTATGTTCTCTGTCTCTAAAGGCGCGCTGGACAATGCTTTCCAAATATACTAACTGATCATTGGTGGATCGGTTTATGGTGATGGTCTACTATGAGTCGGTTTTGTTCTAAGTACCACATCAGTCTATTCTTGACCATCCTTTCCAGAAGTTTACCCATACAACAAGTTAGACTTATGGGCCTATAACTCGACGGGATCAATGGGTCCTTACCGGGTTTGAGGATAGGAACGACGACGGACTCTTTCCATTCACTAGGGTAAGTATTTTAGACCCAGCACCGATTATATAAGTCTAAGAGAGATAGCTTTGCAGTTAATGGAAGATGTTTTAGAAATATGTTATGGGATTGTGTCAGACCCTGACGCCTTTGAGTCTGCGCATCTTAGAGCTTCATCCAACTCGGTCATGGAAAGGGGTATCTTATACTCAAGTATCTCCGCAGTGTTAAAGTTGAGAGGTATTTCCCATTCCAGGTGAGGGGTTTCAGTGGTAGACCCATCTCGAGTTATAATCCGAGTGATTGACGCAGTTCTCTTGCCATTAGCCAGAAGCTTTATCCTTCTCCATACCTCAGATGAAGACGTGCTGGGGCTAATCGTAGAAGTATAACGATTCCAAGATTCTCTTTTGCATTCTAGAACTATTCTACGCGCCTTAGCTCTAGCTATCTTGAAAGCAACCAAGTTGTCTTCGGTGGGCCTTCGACGGAAAACGTTTAGTGCTCTTTTTTTAACTCTTATAGCATCCCTAACCGCAGGACACCACCAGGGAACGTTTCGGGTAATCGATCTGCTGCCCACTACAGGAATAGAGTTTAGGGCCGCATTTTTTATGGAATCCGTAAGTATCTGCACCCCTTGAGATAGGTTAGCAGTCAGATTTATGTCCTTAGACATTTTCTCCTCAAAAGAGGCCCAGTGTGCCTTCTCCAGATTCCATCTACGGGGAGTGATAACTGGCGTTCTATGAGAGTCTGTTCCAATAGCAATAGGGAAATGGTCACTGTTGTGAAGGTCATCAAGTGGTCTCCACTCCAGACGGGCGGCCAACACTGGTGAGGCGAAAGTCAGATCAATCGCGTGGAAATTACTCGCTCTGGCATTAAAATACGTAGAAGCACCTGTGTTTAATAGAACAATATCATCCCGCTCCAGTAGTTCTTCTATCTTACGACCTCTACTGTCTCTAGCTTCTGAACCCCATATAGGACTGTGTGCACTGAAATCTCCCACTAGTAGGAGAGGGACAGGGAGTTGATCCAGTAGATTTTCAAGATCTGCAATTTCCCAATCGTCTCTCGGTAGGTATAGACTGCATATTGATGCCAAAACCGGATGAGACATTCGTACTGCCACCGCCTGTAGGCGTGTGTTTAGTTGAATTTCTTTAGAACGAGCTTCAAGTTTAGTTATAATGGCGACTCCTCCTGCAGCCCTAACATGTACGTCGTCGTCCTTCCTTACGATATTGTAATTTCTCAACCCGTAAGGCTGGCCGTGTTTTAAATGCGTTTCTTGCAGACACACACATATTGGATCATGTTTCGTCAGTAGCATCTTGAGGTCACAGTACTTTTGCACGACTCCGTTGCAGTTCCATTGGATAATCGTGTTCATTCTTGTTGAATAAATAAATAAATAAATATATACATTTATATAAATAACGACGATTAACACTTTTGTAGACAAACGAACATATATATCACAGTAAATACAAGAATAACGTAGTTAAAAGGTAACTATACTTATCACAGAGGTTTTCACAGACTAGTTTGTGCAAGACCCTCTCGACGTTTCCCCTGAGTTACGGGGAAGTCTGGGCTTGCCTTTCGGCCAACCCTTCTTCTTCCTCTCTTGCTTGGCTTCCTTTACTTTATCTTCGTCAACAGACGTAACGCTAGATTCCCTAGATCGGGACTTGGCGGAAGGCGTCTTACGTTTGGCCCCCGCGTCTCTGTGTCCATACATTCCACCTCCGATGACGTGGTAGGCTCAGAGAAAAGGTGGACGCTATTCGCAGGGTTTGGCCTGGAAACTTCCAAGACAGGTCGAAGGGGTTCAAATATCCTTTTTGAGGTGAGTATTTTCATAAAGGCCTCCATTTCTTCTTTAATTATTTTTCGAATTTCAGGACCAACAGGTTTCACGGGAGATGGTGTTACTAGCGCTGAGGTAACCTGAGCAAATGACGTACTTGGAGTCACTAATGTCTCCGCTTTCCTTTTAGCTTCTAAATACGGTATCCTATGTATGACTTTAATTTCCTGTATTTTCATCTCCTTCTGATAGGTCGGGCATGTTTTCGAAATAGATTTGTGTGAACCCTTACAGTTGGGACACACGACGCTTAATAGTTTTTCAGTTACTATGATAATAATGATTATTAATATTATTATGATGTTTGAAATTCAAATGTTAAAAACATATGATGAATGTTTATTAGTGCTTTGAGGATTCTTCAGATATATTTTGGCGATTCTTCCAAAAAGTTCTTCCAAAATTGTTTAAAGGTAGAATTTCTTCAGAAGGTATTAGATGTGTTTCAGAAAATTTTTAAATATTATTTGGAAGAGCATAAAGGTTTTCTAAAAATTCTACCAAAATTCATCAGTTTTAAAGAATGCCGCACTCACCATAACTATATTTAGGTATCTCTTAGAATTTCTGCAAAAATATAATTATTGCTGTGTGCAATGGTGCACCACCCACAAAACACCTGTTCAGCTAGATCAAAACAAATCAAAGTTAAAACGTAGAATTTTATAATCTCTCCTCGTACACTTGCGGCATCTGCTATAAAGAAAAACCCTAATATTGACTTAAATTAATATAATTGGCGAATGGTGAGCCTCGTTCAACTTCCAAAAATTCCTGAAGTAAGAAAAAGAAAAGAAAATGACATGAAAACTCTATTCGGGCCGCACAATGGATTCGAATAAACACATAATTAATTGATTGACAACGACAAACATTTATTCCAAATACATAACAAAAAAAACGCAGGTTTTGGGACTCACTGAAGCTGAGTATGGCAGTAAGTCACGTCGTGGCAGATTCAATGGGGGAAAAAAAATTCGCCTTGCAAATTTAAAAAGACCGAATAGCTTCTCGTAGGGTTTAAAACTGCATGCAAAAGGTACCTGTCGTTTTGGTCTGAACACCGGTTGAGCATTGGGTTTTAAGTAGAGTTTCACTTTTGACTTCGTACAATCATCAAGTGAATTCTTAAAAGTTCCGGAAAACTAGTGATATATCAATTAATTGGTTTGATAAGGTTGGAACTGTTTACTTGATTGCAGATACTGGTTAACGGTTTTGCCCAAAATTCAAAAGCGCTAATGAAGTCTACAACAAGCAAAATTCGATCCTTTACTGGAGTATCGTAACAAGCTCCCTGTTGTTGTTCTTGGTCGATCTGCATCGTGCAGATAAATTCCCCAAGAAGAGGAGACTCTTCACCGGACGCTGTATTTGCGTGAAAGCAGGAGATTTACATTTCTTTCAAGCCTGTAAAGATAAGTTGATGCGTTATAATATCAAAAACAGTTATCAAAACGGTACACCCCGTTTAAGTTAATTGCAAATTCAGATGAACTATTCATAAGAAAATCAGAAAATTTAATTTACCTCTACTGCATTGAGGTGCAATTATTTTATCACACTCCAGCATAATTGGAAATTGACCACAATCAAACTAAACAGTCTCATATCTATAAAGATATAATTGATTATGAGCTAAATTAATTCACACCTGATGGTACTGAGCTTTAAATTAAACCGGGCCGATTTAAATGTTCTAAACATGAAGAATCCATACTCAGTTTATCGATACGTACTGAAGTTTGGCTTAGAATAAAATATAATAGGTAATTGGATCTCTTTAAGGGTAGACAAAACTTAAATTGATGCTTTACACGCACCATCATAATTATATCTTCCATTTAGTTTACGGGAAAGACCCAGGATAATGATTTTGTGGATTCTTAAACAGTAAATTGTAATGTAGGAGAATTATGATGATTTTGATTTGTGCGGCGCCTTAAATTCGAGAAAATTAAAGTAATCTTACTTAAGAGATAAATAATTCAGTCGGGGAATTTTAAAATGCGGACGGTGTATTAGAAAACCGCGTCAGAATTTACCCCAACTTGGCGTGTAAGAAGATCCAGTATAAAACAAGGGAAGTGTATTATTGATAAAAATGAGCGTCGCAAATTGTTTTATACGAGTGCTCGGCGACAGGAGCGTCTCTCTTGGCGGTCGGGACCATCTTACCATAAATAATGCAAAGACCGACCACCGCTCGGGCTAACTTAGGACCGTATGTCGATCTCAAATTGATATACTTAGTCAGCCATAGGAAATATGTGCGCGCTATTATAATTTATGTGCCTTCGGAGAGGTGTATATACTTGTTTTATGATCTCTACAGGTACGGCTTTTAAGATTATAGCTTTTATTGTTCCATCGCCCACTTTACTTCTATTCACTACACACGTATTGCATACGTCAGATACCTACACGGTATTCGGGGCAGAATTTTTATTTGAAATTTATTTCAGATATAAAGTTGGTGCCTGAAGTATTTTGTTTGGTTAACTAATTCATCATTAGATGACTTGTGCTTTTACAATATTCTGTTAATGATTTGAATATGAAATTTTTTCTGAAATCGCAATCAACATTATCATGCATTAAGGAATTTTTGATGCATAACATGTAACGATTTATTTTCTCCATTACAAGGCATTGTTGTTGTTTACGGTTTATTACTTATTGAAAGATCTCTGTAACTTCTTCATCTACTGATGGAATTTAACCACGCAATTTAACCGCGCAGATTGCCCGCGCCGTGATTTTTGCTTGTCAATTGTCACTTTTTTTTCTTCATACGCCGTATCGAAGTACACGTCAATTAAACAAACAGCTGAAAGCGACAGGTAGAACGCATGGAATTCTAATTACCAGATTCCGAATATATTGATCTTTGGCAACTGAATTTATAATTTGGAGATTTCGAAGTAATTAGTGGACGGGATTCGCCTATACTCGTAGTGAGGATATTCTCTTTATATTAAGTGCCGCCATTTCGAATTCTTGTAAAGTTTCCAAACCTTTTAGGATCTGGTCTAAATCGGCGTGGGTGGTGTTGACCCAGACCAAGCATATCTGGGTGGTCAATGTGGTAGTTGGAAGGAAAGTTCGTAGCTGGCTGAAATTACTTGCGCATATATCTGATATCTTGGCGGATATAATAACCAAACCGCTGAATTCAGTAAACCTGTAAGATCTACGTTCAAGATTTAGATTGATCTTATGCTGAGGAGAACATCGATAAGGCACGTTTTCCAATTACATATCTTCCTTTCGTCATCGAGGTAAATTTTGAAGAATTTGTGGAAAATGTGTCACCTATATCCGTATTTCCGTCAGTCAAGTGTTGAATACGGACGCGCGTACAGCCAAAGTAGTAAACAAATGTGAACAATAGCAAAGTAAGTGAAGTTTTCTCCACTATATAATTGATTACAAATTTAATATTGATCCCATTCCGTAAACTCTGTGTTTCAGTTAGCGTCTTAATTGCGGTGAGTTCACAGTTCATTTGGGTAAATAGTATCTATGAGAGGCTTTCCCATAGGTTGCAAGAGAAATCGAAATTGGCAACGTAGAAATTTAAATACCCTGTAATAAGTGTTGTAAAATTCCTCCGTTAGATGTCGCCTGCTGTCGTCGCCACCTTTGAAATTAAACCACCTCTTAGTTCTCTCTTTACGAATAACCCTCCCAACCCCCATAAGGAAGAACATCGCGCCCTCGCTCTCGGCGGGAAGAATGTAAGAAAAAGCGCCCCAGGTGCTAGAAGTAGAACAAAAGGAAGATATAATAACCAGAAACCAGAAACCTTAGACTAGAGCTGCTAAACAATGGCTCATAGCTCAGATCAACGTGCGTATTCACGAAAAACTTTTCCCGAAACCTTAATCAGAGCTCACCAACCCACCAGACATTAATCCAGAACCGTATTCCTTGTATTCCAGACCCGATCATTTATTAATTACCCCTGTCTACTCCTCACCAGATACCAGTATTACTTTTACGTTTATTTTGCAGCCACCAAATATTCAAAATTAAGTTACGTTACATAAAAATCTGAGTATCTGAACTTTGCAATTGAAAATGTTTCCAGTTTAACCAACCTCCAATCAAGAATGATCGATTACCAAACTAATTACTGAATCTTAACACAACTTTCCCCCAAAGAAATAGATGTTCCGGGCAACAATTCGCACGTATAGGGCCAAGTACAAGTAAAACATCTAAGCAACCTTGCATAAATAATGCTGACGCCAAGTGAGTTGGATCCCAGAATCCCGTAAATAATTAAAAGAAAACTCCCAACCCCAGAGCTCGGAATATATTGATTTTGACTAATTCCTCACTTTACACGTAGTAAGCTTCCATCCCAGGTACGATACTTATTCGGGCAACCGCTCCACAAGGAAGTCTACAATAACATTCGCGTGTCCAACTTGA